CATCTCAAGTGACTACATCGTGAGACAAACGATAATACACTTTATTATTGCATCTACCACGATGAATAACAACAACCTTTTCCTCGATATTTTCTTGTAATATAAAGTTGCGATATCAAAATCACGTTCCTTGGTTACATAATTTAACGTTTCCCCTCAACTGCTTGATGTTGCTTGGCTAAACAGGTTCTTATATCTGTCAGTATTAAAAAGGAAAATTTCTTCCAGCAGGTTCTTAAACCACTATATAGGTTCGTGCACGCGGGTTTTACTGTAACCAACTGGTCAGCCTTCTGCCAGTTGGGATTTTTAACAGGGTTATGCTCAATTTACAATATTGATTCGTTTGCTTATTTCAGTTTCATTTAGTTTGTTCTTTTATTTTTTATATCTACTTACTTCTTATTTGCTTAACGACACACCAACAGAGATCTACGCACTATAGTTAGAGTCTGTACCTGAACTGCCTCCAAGTAGAACGTGAGTGTCTTTCTTTCCATACTCCAAACCACTGTAGCCTTTAACCTGGACATCCTGAAACGCAGGGTATCCACCCTTGCCACCGTGGCCACTTCCACCAATGCATTGCGAGTACCAATACATCAGGTAATTTTCGCTCGTGCCACCCGGTCCATTTCCTTTAACAAACACAAAAAGGATACTGTCAAATCTTAATTGATGTGTAGCTTGTCCAGTTCTCGTTCAGATAAACCCTGATTCCACTCTCGCGTCGTTGCAGTTTTCACTCGAACTTGGGAGCTCTTTGGACGTGAAAAGGTCAAGCACAGAAAGACGTTCACGTGTGAACGTTGTTTGAAATAACCTGTGGTTGTTTAATCTTAAATGTTATATCAGTAGGAACTATATATACCAAGCAATGTACCACAGAAGCCTCGAACCCAGACGTCTCCCTAATACGCAAATACTATGGCTGTGCAACCGCACAGATGGCTACTAGAGTACGCTTGTAAGTTAGCCTTTCGCGCAGGTCTACAAAGTGAGGCAGCTGTAGAGTAGGTTAGACTCAGAGGGCAGTTCATTCCCAGCGAGTCAACTTTTGAACAGAGCTAGTTGGTTTATTAGAATAAATCTAAATGACTGCACCGGCTTACCTGGTATTACAGGTGCTAACCAGTCTTTGGGTTTGCCGATGGGCATGTATCCTCCAACACATTTTCCGTCCAGCTCAGTCGCTGCACATGATAAATCGATCATAGTTTTAAGAACTATATTTCCTTCAAGTGATTCGACAGATAAAGCATTTTCGCCGGATATATTCACGGTGGAGTTGGAATTTAAGATGATATCCTTGACAAACACGAGCCGCGCGACGCCATATTTCCATTCGCGTGAGTCTCCAAGCTGATTAATAAAGGAGTGGTTAGATTCCGCCAACAGGAGCAAATCTGTTCTGTTCCCTTTGTTATCTATAACTGACGCGGACGGTTCACTTGTGTTTATAAGAAGGGTTTCTCCAGGTTCTAAAGTCAACTGTCCAGCTAGACGTGGGATAAACGATACAAATAAGTTTGCTTAGTGAGTTAAGATTTCCAGTAGTGGCCAGTATCATGCTAGACACAGCTTTAATGAAATGTAAAGGAAAGCGTAAAATCCTAACGGTTTGAGAGATCTGGGAGAACTAAGAATTCACGTGCATCATTTCAACCAACACTGACCTCGGAGTTTAAAATTTTTTGACTTATTGTTGTTCAGATTGTCAGTAGGAGATAAGTAACAAACTTCAGATAGGGACCTTATTATTACATTTTAGATTTCTTGACTCTTTTTAAGCGATGACGTAATCGTCGCTTAATTCTGGCGCGCAGCATTCCTTTGGATAGTGATTTCGCAATTTTTTCGCGCTGCGCTCATGTCGAGCACGATTTATCCCTCGGTGGAAGCGAAATGCACTCTGGGAGCTAAAAAATAAGACACACCAAAAATTCGCCATATTTGGTTTCGGAGAGTGAGAAACTTGTCTTTTGCGGCCGTCGTTTTGTAGGATCCACAGAGAGCCTTTAATTTCAGCATGTAAACAAAGATTTTGAGTGAGGATTGTGCTTTATCCAGTATCGGATAAATTTGTGCTCAAGGATAAACTCATTATAAGAACATATCGTGCATACATACAACTTTCGATCGACAAGGAAGTCGCACACGCGATAGGTCCAGGGTCCACATTAAATTTACGTATTTGTGAGGGCTGTGTAGGCCGAACCTTTGCCTGTCTTGAAGTGAATTGAATGAGCACCGTTAGAGTACTGTATGAGTACTGTAGGGGCACTGAAATATTTGAGCTAAACTTATCTGGGGACTGAAATATTTGTAAAATTGAACTTGAATTGAAGAAGAGCATTGAAGAAGTTCGCTGTCAAACCAATTGAGATACCAGAAAGCAACGGACAACAGTGTAACAAAAAGGTCAGCTATCAGCTATCAGCTATCAGCTATCTGCAGGTTGTAGCATCGACAAAGTGTTGGTTAGATTTCCAGTTGTTAAACGCAGGTATCGGGACTGGAGGTATGGTGGCCCATTGTTATCATA